CTATGTATCTATCTATCTAATCATCTCTCTGATGCCCTTTTAGAGGCTGTACCAGCCCCAAAGTCAGAACCAGGGAGCTGATCATCAACTGGTCAATCTCCTCAGCCTTCATTCACTTCAGGGTCTGTTACCCCCACCTTATCTCCACCCATCAATATCTTATCTGTGCTTTCAGAACCAGGGTGTGTGCCATGTGTATCTACCATGAAGTTCATCCAACCAGATTCTTGCCTTCCACTCCTGGTCTTTCATTGCCCTTTTATTCAGTCTCAGTCATGTGGCATTAGTCCCACATTGCACCCCCTGTTCTCTTTGAGCTGCTAAATTTTCTGCACCCTCCTTCTGTCTAGCTACGTAGCCCTCAGGTTCTAGCCCACACTCCACAAACACATCAAAGTGTAAATAAAGCAGGGAAGGGGTTTTATATCTGATTATAAAAAAGCTGAAAAAGAAAGTTTCAGCCATAAATCAGAGATCATTAGATAGATTGGAGACCATGTTTTTTTTTTTTTTGAAAATTTGAGCATTGATTTCTTTTCATGTATAATACTAAAATTTTTACTTCATTGATTTGTAATGTTGAGGTTCGGAAAACTGCTGGAGTCACTTGTGTACATGTCTTACTAACATCCCACCAAATCAATGATACTCTTGTATATTATATGTTCAAAGAATGAATGTAAAATGATTTGCCTGCTTTTAAGATTAGAACTAAGCGATCTGATAAATTTGTGTTTGTCAAAGTTCAGTATCAAATCTTAAAGGCTACATCCTCCTCCAGAGGGATTGGCAGTGCAAAAAAAGGAAATTCCTTTAAAAGGAAGAAATAAAACTGTAATTCTGGCATTTCTGGCATCAGAGAGTCAGGGATGTTTTACAGACAGTGTTATTGTGTCTCCAGGCAGCCTACAAATCATAGCCTTTCTGAGAGAGGGATAATGTTCTAGGATCTTAAAGTATAAAATTGTAGCTCTCATAAGGAAAATGTGCATAAATATCAGTTAAAAAATGGTCATTCACTAAGGGCCCTAGACTCATATGGGAGGACACAAATTTCAAAGGGGAGCTGTTCCTGCTCTCAAAGAGCTTATAATCCAGTTAGGAAGCCAGGCATAATGGGACAGCTATATGCTTTGCTCGGCCAAAATGAAAATATGAGGCCCTTGTGTATATATGATGAAGAACTTCAAAAGGATAACAGCAGAGCATTAAACCAAGCATGGGTCTCTTCTGAGGACAGGGACATGGGGAATGCATGTCATATGTTCTGCTTACACACAGCTTTAATAACATACAACAATGTTGAGTCATGATGTATACTGTGAGAAGAAAGTGGAGGAAATAGCCAAGGCTGGGTGGTGGGGCTAAACTTTGAAACATAGATGAATTTTTGCTACCCTGATAATTGGGGTCCAGGGGCACTTTAGGCAGGGGAAGGTGAGGGGATAGCATTTCCTCCTATAACCTTCTGCATTGAGCCTGATTATACAAATCTTGTGATTTCTACATCCTGTGCTCACACTCTTCCTTGTGTTGCAGTTAATCAATTTGAGGCATTGTCTATCAGATAATAGCAGATGAAGGTTTAGCTCACTTGAGCACTCCTTCATTTTCATTGTAATTAAATTGCATTATATGAACTGTTTATATTTAGTGTTTCTGTCAGGTATTGGGTAAATTTCTAAACCATACTCTTACTTTTCTGTTTCTTGCTTGTGCAGAATATCCTGACTCCTCACAATGGAAGTTAGCATCTCAAACCTCTCTTGGCTCCTCCCCAAACCCCCAGTGCTCTCCAGTGGAACTTTCTGCCTGAATGGAAATGGCTCCTATTTGGGCCATCCATAATGGCAGCCACCTGATACAAGCAGCTGTTGAGTACTTGGAATGTGGGTGGAGTGAATTTCATTTTATCTAATTAAAATTTAATTTTTGGTAGCTAGTGGCTACGATACTATATACCTCAAAAGGCAGAAGGAGCAAGGCAGCTCTCTAGGGAATATTTATCCCTTACATGTAGACTGCTCTCGTGATTCCATCCCCTGCAGACAGTCTCCTCCAAATACTATCCCAGTGTGGATTAAGTTTCAACATGTGGATTCAGGGTGCCATAAACACTCATTCTATGGCGTTCTTTTGCTTAAATGAATATTAAACAAATGAGAGCATGATTGAGACCAGACACTGAACTAGTCTTTCAAACTGTTATCTATTCCTCAAAGTTAAAAGCTTTTTGAAAATAGTAACTGTATACATATTCTGTCTTTATCTGTTCCCTGGACAATATTATTTGTTTTTCACACAATTTTTATTGACATTTAGGTAGTGAAATGTGGAGTATATTAAGACACAGGATATGTTTAATCATTCAAAAACTTCTAAAAAAGCAATGACATAAAACATGCCATGCACAAAATTTCTATTTCACTTTTGAAAGTGTTGCTTTTAACCTTTGCAGTGAAATGACAACAATTTTTGTGTGGAACATCAGCTTTTACAAACACATCTCGAAATTAGGAGTTCAGTTGACACTCAGCTGAATTATTTACTTCTGTACCCAGAATGAATTTTTTCTCTTTGTCTGATTTGTCTGTAGGCCAGAGAACAGATCTTTTATTAGTTCTGGTCTAAGCAATTGATACTTACAAAGGAAGATGAAAGAGGTGATCTACTTTGTATAATGAGGGACCAGTAGTAATTACAGGCAGTGAAACCCTTTTTGGGCATTTGTGGGAAGGAGCACATTTACTGTTGTGAGAATGGAGGTCATGTGTTGGGGAATTTGGGCCCTAATGTGATGACTGCTTAAGGTTACTATATAAACTTAATGAGAAATATTTAATGCTCTGAGGCTATCTCATGTTGTTATGATTAGTGGGGAATTTTTTTATTGAAATCATATCAGCCACTTTCCAAGTTCCAGGCTTTTTACAGTTCCAGATCTTGCTTATATGCTAATTTGTTTCTTGGGGAATGGAATGATGAAAGTCATTTGGTTTTCAGGGCTATGATCTGAAAAACCTAGATGTGCAGTGTTATTTTTGTAATAATTAGGGTGGGCTATAACCTAATATAATCTTAGATGAAAATCTCTATTTTCTTCCTGTAGTGTGAGTATATTTATGGTTTTACCTCCAGGGGAGCCTTCCCACTTGTTAATATTTACCTTCACAGGTGCAACATGAGTTTGGATAAACGTTCTACTTACCTGGTGTGCAGCCTTCCAACATTGATCTCTTTGGTCACTCCCTGCTGAAATTTTCAATTTCAAATAACTTCCTCTGTAGTTTAGTCTGGATGAAGTGACCGATTTGTAACAAAGAGAAAATAGCAAAAGTGTCAGAATATTAGACTGCAAATGTGACTTTTGTTTTGCTTTTGTTCTCTCTCACTCTCATTCTTCGCTCTTTTTCATTTCTTTACTCTGTTGAAGTCAGCTGCCATGTTGCAAACTGCTCTAAGAAGTCCGTGTGATCAGGAACTGAGTATGGCTTCAGGGCATATGTGTCATCAAACTGAGGTCCTTGGCCCAATAGCTCTTGGGAAATGGAAACCTACTAAAACCACATGAATGAGCATGGAGAAATTTTCTTCCCTTTTTGAGCCTTGAGATGCCTGTAGTTCCAGCTAACATCTTGATCACAGCCTTGTTAAAGATATTTAGTAGGAAAACTCACACTACTGGGCCTAGATTCCTGAATTCTGAATCCACACAAACTATGAGACAATAGATGATTGTTTGTTAAGCTGCTAAATTTTGGAGTGATCTATTAGGTAATGAAAGATAAGCACTATGGTTGGGATATGGTTTGAGTGTGTTCCCCACACGGTCATGTGCTGAAGGCTTGTTTCCTAGTATTGAGAAGTGGTGAGTCTTTAAGAAGTGATGCTCATGGAAGGAAATTAGATTATGAGGGTACCACCTTTTTGAAGGGATTAATCTAGGTCTTGTGGGGCAGGATTAATTCCAAAGAGAATGAGTTATCGTAGAATTGAGTTCAACGATCCCAGCTCATTTTTGTGTTGCCTATCTCATCCATGTGATCTCTTCTGCACCCTTTCCTGAAATTGTGTCACCTGCCCTCACCAGAGCCAAACAGATGGTACTCATTAGCTTCAAACTGTGTGCTAAATAAAAATCTTTCCTTTTAGTTCCCAGCCTTAGGTATTTAATTATAGTGCAGAAAATAGACTAAAATGGTAACTAATATACTATAATATCATACTTACCACATTTGAAAGACTATCAAATAAGATAATTTATAATAAATTATTTCCTTTACTTTGATAGTAGAATATAAATATACTGAGAATGGATTCTTTTTTTCAAGAATGTATAGAGAAACATGATTTTGGTATTCAAGAGAAAGAAAGGGTAGGATTCGTTTGTGATAAGTTCAAATACATATAACTTTCAGCCAGTCACTTCCCTTTTGTGAAAGAAAACGTTTAGCATTAAGAGAATCTGTTATGTATGCTGTCAAAGAATAGACGGTTAAGACAATTTTTATCTTCAATTGCTTTTTACAAGTTTATGTGTACTCTGTAGTAGAGCTTTATGAATAATGAGGACAGGAAAAAAGAGGGAGAATTAAGAAAAGATTGACTCTAATAAAGGTTATTGATTAAAATGTGGTGTCCAAACCCAATATGCTGAGAACATCTGCAAATGCTCTCACCCTCCAAACCTATCAATAAGCATCTTTGCCTCCAAAACAGAAAAAACAATTCTAACTGTTTATACATACATCTTGGAAATGAATAAACTAATTAGCATTTGATAATAAAGGAAGTCAGAGGGAGCATACACATACCTGCTTTGATATATTGTGTCTTGGATACTAGAATTAAAAAGGGGTTCAATAAGAATATAAGGAAGAAAATAGAATTGAGGAAGTAATGATGACACTTCCTCTTCTTTTGTAAGAACTTTTTGTTCTGGTCAGCTTTTAATGATAGTTTTGTGTGACTGTTCAGATCAGAATCCTCAACCTTTACCTCAGAACACTATGAGTTTTCTGAATTCAGGGATAAAGAGACAGCTCTTGGATTTACTCTCTTTATGTTGCATGTAAGTAAAGTCACCCTTTGGCTGATACATAAGAAGTAATACTTGACATATGAAGATGTTACAAAATGTATACCCTCACATTCTCTTTAGAATGGTGATGTCTGAAATGGGGCTCTTTAGATATGATATTTACTCAGCTCTTCATATGCCTGATGTTGAGAAGTCTTGTGTTGAAGACACTGTGATCTTGTTGGAGTTTTGGAGGAAGTTGTATAAGCTCTCTGCTTTTTTTTTCTTAAATGAGTGTTGTTTAATTGATGGTTGGACTGTTGACCACAGTTTGGTTTAGAAAAGCTCAATTCAGCATTTGTTTTGATCCTGAAGAGTTCACTTTGGGGCAACACTCTGTGGCCACTTCTTTTATTCTTTTGAGAGAAATTGTGCTCTTTGGGGATAATCCTTTTTACCTTGCAGACAGCTGGTGGGGGATTCTGCTCTCAGATGAAGGTCACAGTCTAGACAAAATATTTCTGGTATGAAAATGAGGGCTAGGTGTTCTTGGCACCTAAGGCTTTTGGCTTTTGGTATATGTAGAAGAATTTAATTGTAAGAGTCAGAGTCAGAGGATCAGAGCTTTGGCATATGTAGAAGAATTTAAGTGTAAGAGTTAAAGTGTCTTTGACTACACTAATGGATTTTATTAGTCTTTAGGGGCCTGTGAGTCCCTATGCTATCCTAAGAATTATATAGTTGTATTTCCAGTCTGGTTTTTATACAATTATTTATTTTACATGTAATATAGAAACAAAACAAAACAAAACAAAAATACATGGATTTCTTTCTGCTCCTGTCACACAGTGAGAAGGAAAAGGACTTTATGTCTGTGCACTTGTCATTGCATTTTTAAATTGTTTTTCTCTGTAGAACAAGCATCTTTTCTCCAAAAAGATTGTGCTTGAACATTTTAGGCAAATTGCATCAGGCAAATGCACATAACCAGAGTATGGAAATAGGAAGTCCTTTTCTGCGTTAGTTTTCTGTGGCAATAAGAGATAAGAAATTACTTCATGACTATTGCCTGAGACTTTCCTTTTGACTTGCGTGTCCTTCTTGAACAGCTCACTTCTGCTTTCTCTCTGGCTTGGAGGCTGGGCAGTATGAACTGCTAACCAAAACACAGGTTAACAATGTGCAAGTAAGTTGAGAGTGACAAATGTTCAATGTGTTTGTGAAGAAAATCCTAAACATAAGCTTTTTGGTGTGGAAGAAAATCCTGCAAATGGGGGAATTACTATGTTCAGAACAGTGCTTTCTACAATATATGCCTTCAGCAAATAGTTGTTGAGTGAACAAATAATTTGGATTGCTCATGAGAGTGGTACAGTAACCATTGCTTTATTTCTATCACCCTGCAACTTAACAAAGTAAATGTTGGAGGAGTTTAAAGTGAAGCAGGAGAAACTATGTAAGTGTGGAGTGAAGAAAGGATATGTAGAAAAGAGATGATTAAAAGTGAAAGGTGTAGCAGTATGGTGCTTGAGGTAAAGATGAGGGTGGAGGGGATGGTGTAGGTAGTGAGGGTGAAGGTGGAGATGGTGAAGGTGAAGGTCCAGGTGATGGAGGTGATAGCAGACATGGTAGGGGCAATAGAAGAAAAGCTAGTAGAGATGGTGACTGATAGAGTTGCTGATGATGGGGATTATACAGGTGGTGTTAGAAGTGGTAGTGGCAGGCTGGGGGTTTAGCTCAGCGGGTCG